AAAGAAACAGAAGAATATAAAAGTGATACATTGATAAATCTTCACATTTAGGAAAGACAAGTATTAGATTGCTTTTTTTTTTTGGTACTGGGGATCGAACTTGGGTCCTTGCACTTGCGAGGCAGGCACCAGAACCACTGAGCTAAATCCCCGGCCCCATTGCATCTATTTTAATAGACTGCTATTTTGACATACAGATTTATTTTCAGTTTAGATATAATAATAGACTGCAAGTTGTGTTATCAGAAGGAACATGCAAATAGAAACTTTGAGTTATTGGCTCTTGTATACTAACTTAGTATCTGTTTTAAACTATAGATTAAAAGAATTTGAAAGATTAAATACTCTTTCTAAGAAAGTAAATGTTCCTCCAGAAAAAGCAATGAGACATATAAGTTTTCACCGACTACCAGCAAAGAGAGCACCTCCGAAAATGAAGGTAAAGTGGGCACAGTCCTTATTGTGATGGGGGACACAGTGCAGCACCAGAAAACTGACTCTCCACTGATTTGGTCTCTAGGAAATTGAGTACCAGAATCTGAGATTTCCAGTAGATTTATCAAATCCATTTGCTGTGGCAACTGTTTTAAACCAAGAACCAGGAAAATTGAGGATTAAAGAATTAAGAGAAGGTAACCAGTTGATCCACCATAAATCAGGCCCTGGGTAGACTATGAAAGAATTATTCCTTTTCATCTTTATTATTTATGAGCACTATTTATGAAAATTCAGTTAGATTGACATTATGCTTCATCATTAGAAATGTGTTTTTTGTCTCAGCAAATGGTTCTGATTTGATTACTGGAGTAATCATTGTTTGCTCCTGCCTTCAGTTTTGGACCAAGGCACTGGGATTTCAAAAACAAGACAGATGAAGGAGGCACTCTTTGAACAGAAAGTCAGACAAGACACTTATGAAGAGATGGAAAATCACCGTAAATGGTAAATATTGACCAATTTGTATCGAGTAGCAGTATTTTTTAAGGGATCATCTTTTATGCATGAGATGTAATGACTTGTTACACCCTTTGGCAAATTTCATCATTGTTTCCCTTCCACTGGTCTCTCTATTTCAGAATGAGCTTCTATTAGAAATAAATTAACATGACCAAAGTATGTTGTTCCCTAAAGTGTGATCTGACAGTGGAGGACTAGAATGAATTTGAGAGAGGTTGCGTCCCTGATCCTTCCCAACCACCATAGCCGGCAACACCCCTAACACATACTCATGGCAGGTCTGAGGTGGCTCAGGCAGCCCAAATTCCACCCCATCACTTCTCACCCCACCATGAGCCCCTGTGGCCTGTGTTGTATGCCCCCGGGGTCTTTCTGGGGAGCCCTGCTGTTGGAGATGGGGATCTGATGTTTAAAATTCAGATATGAAAATTCTTATGCTTCTGTGATCAAAGTGGAATCTTTTCCATATTTTTAAAAACTTGATAATACTAGGCATGTCCACGCATACAGATTCAGCTAAAGTAAACTTTTTGTTTTACTTTTTGTTGGATTTTGCTGTGTTTTGTTGAAATGTGGTCTCTCTATGTTGCCTAAATGGCCCCAGTATCCTGGGCTCAAGCTCAAGTGAGTAGCATGGACTATAGGCATGCACTACCATACCCTGTTCTAAAGCAAACATTCCAAACTGTTGGATTGAGCTGAGAGGGGGAGGGGGATGGAAAATGCCCTTGAGGGATCCTAATCCACATGCTACCAGCTTCCCAGACACATAAGAACATGCCTTGACCTTGGCCTTGTAGGCCTCCCAAGGAAGTATCCACCATGCTGAAGCCCTGTTTTAATGGGAAAATGGCTTTTGCTTCCAACAGAAATCCCTTCTACTTCAGCTTAATTCTGTATTCTTGGACTGGGAAGTGGGGAGTACTTCAAGTAAATGAAGATTTTGTTCTTAAAAGTGTTTCCCTATTATGAAAAATGGACACATTGTCATTGTAGGAAATATGAAAATATATCCTTTTAAAACTATAGAGAAAGAAAAAAATCACTGCAATGCCACCATTCAGCAATGACCACTGATGTCTTTCCATCCTTCTATGCTTCTTTGTAACATACTTGAAATCACATCCTAATTCCTTTCTGAATGCAGTGATACCCACTAATATTATTTCTCAGCTTTTTACATTGAAAGATTTTAAATCTTCAAGTAAGATCAATATCCACTTGACTTCGGTTCAAGAATTGTAGACATTATGCTGCATTTACATCCCTTCACTCTGCACCCACATGCGCACACACACACACACACACACACACACACACACGTGCTTTTTTTCTTTTGAGCCATTTGAAGTTCAGTTACAGTATTAGGAAGTTTCATTCCAAATACTTCAGCATGTAACTCCCATGAGCAAAGACATTCTCCAACATTGCTATAATCCTTTCTAAAAACCCTAACACTGATAGAATGTTACCAGTAATCCTTCTATAGGCAGGTTTGTCCTGTTGTCCCAATCATGACATTTATATCTGATTTTTTTGTTTTATTTTTGTTTGGTTGGTTGGTTTGGTTTTGGAGAGGGGGAATCCAGGGTCTCATCAATGACCATACACTTTGTGTTTGGTTTTCACATCCCTAGTCTTCTTTAATCTGAAACAGTTCTCCAGATGCACACTCCAGTTTTAAAATCATACCTGTGATTTATTTTGGACATGTACTTATATTACTTACTAGTTTTGAAAGTTGTGGTAATAGTCACATAATTTAAAGTTCACCACTTTAATCATTTTAAAGTGTATAGTGCAGATGTTTTAGTATATTCTCAGTGTTGTGCAGCCTTCATCACTACCTCATTCCAGAATATTCTCATCACTCCACAAAGAAACACTTCGCCCATTAACAGTCACGCTCCATTCCTTAATCCCTAGAGCTCCCAGGAGCAACTCACCTATTTTTGTCTATGGAGTGCCTGTCCTGGATGTTTCCTAGAACAGGAATCAGAATCTGTGGTCTTCTGTGGCTGGTTTCTGTCACTGGACAAATTTTCAATGTCCATCCATAGCATAGCATGTATTAATACTTCATTTCTATTCATGACTGAATAATCCTTTGTATGGGTACTCCACATTTCAGTTTATTCATGTATCAGTTAATGGACATTTCTGTGGTTTCCACTTTTGTGAGTAATGCTGCTATGAACATTTATTTCAAGTTTTTGTGTGAACATATTATTTCATTTCTCTTGGAATAGAACTCCTGTGTCCATGGTCATTTTTTGAGGAGCCACCAAACTGTTTTCCATAGTTACTGCCCCATTTTACATTCTTACTGGCAACATATGAGCGTTCTAGTTTCTCATCAATACCTGTTGTTTTCCATTATTTTAAAAGTATTATTATCATAGCCAGTGGGTATGTGGTGGTATATCCTGTGGCTCTGATTTGCATTCTCTTAATGACTAATGATGTTGAGGATCCAGATTTTTATTCATTAATATTTAATCATGTGCTACAGATGGTGAGCTTCATTTTGTGAGACCTATGATTCATCTTAGTGATGTCGCTGGGACCTCTACAACTTCTCTGCCCCAAAGTGCTTCCCATTTTTGTTGCAGAATGTAGAATATATACTCCATCCTAGAGCTGATTATATTTTCTGATGGGTTCTGGAAGTTGACTTTTTTCTGCCCAGGCAGGTGCACCTTGGTAAAGATCCTATGTCTTTTAAATTGAGAAAGGAGCTTACTGAGGAGCAGCAAAGAATATACACCAACTACAAGGTCAGAATGACTGCTAATTTGATAACATTTGTTTCACTAAATATTTTGAATTCCTTTTGTATGCAAGACGCCAAATCAGGAGAAAGAAAACATATAATTACATTGGGAGGGGAGGAGGCTGGTGACAAGTAAATTGTTAACTATAGACCAACATTGTTACAAGTATACTGTGCATTGTGGGTTATTCAGAAGCCAGAGAGAAGAGGGAACTCATCTAATTGGAAAGCTTCTTGGAAGATATGGTACAATTTTGAAAATTAGGAAGAGGACAAAGTCATGCATGTGGAGAGAATGGCTCAGATTTTGGCTGTAACTCTGGCTGTGAGGCACATCTGTCCCATGTTCTGCAGAGCACAGAAACCAGGGAGGCCCAAAGACAGTATCTGGGAGCCACACCAGAGTCAGTCCCAAGTCAAAGACATTCAAAGAGGCTGAGCAGAGAGGGCCAGCTGGCCTGAGGGAAGTAGGGCCACATCAGGGACACCAGGACTGCGTCTGAGCTTGGGGACAGAAGATGTGGGACTGCACAATACCTGTGGCCTTACCATGGATCACAGTGTCGAAATGGTTAGTACAGCAGAGCAGGTGCAGAGAACCCTGGAAACAAGTCCATTGGGGCTGAAGCACAGGGAATATATGGCTGAAAAGAGATAGGACTCGGCCTGGACACCAAATATGAGGGGCTTGGACTTAATGGATAGGACTCACAGAATCATCACAGACGGTATTAGCCTGCTCAGGCTGCAGTAAGAATGTTCTAACAGACTGGGTGCTTAGACAACAGAGCTGCTTTAGGGTTCAAGTGTCAGCAGGGCAGGTTTCTTCTCAGTCCTGTCTGTTGGCTCACAGATGGCCATCGTCTCCATGTGTCTGTGTCCTAAGTGCCTCTTCTTTCATGGACACCAGTCATAAGACCTCATTTTATCCTGACCACCTCTTTAAAGAGCCCACTTCCAAATACCGTCACATGCCAAGGTCCTAGCAATTAGTACATCAACATATGAGTTGTGGGGAACATAATTCACCCTCTAAAAGACTCTGAAGCTTAGCAGTGTGAGTTTCAGAGAGACTAACCTGATAGCATGATGAGGTGGAATTAGGGAAAACACGTGTCTCATTAGATATCTCATTTTTCTTCTTCCGCTTGGAGCCCAAACCAGATGTTTAGATAAATTTATTATATTTATGTTTATTTTTCATAAAAGAAACAGAAGAATATAAAAGTGATACATTGATAAATCTTCACATTTAGGAAAGACAAGTATTAGATTGCTTTTTTTTTTTGGTACTGGGGATTGAACTCAGGACCTTGTGCTTGCAAGGCACGTGGCGGCACCACTGAGCTAAATCCCCAGCCCTAGATTGCTATTTAAATCTAGCTCCATGCGATCAGAATCTTTGCAGGCTATTTTAAAAACAAAATATCAGGGCCGGGGATTTAGCTCAGTGGTGCCGCTGCCTGCCTCGAAAGCACAAGGTCCCTGGTACCAGATAAACCCCACAAAAAACAAAACAAAACAAAAAATCAAATGTTTTCTGTCAACCCCACAATGGAATGGTATTTTTTGACTCTTTAATAAAAAGAAGGTGGAAGTAGCAGGGGTAGGGGAAAGGAAAGAAAGGAATGGAATTAATATGAAAAAAATGAAAAAATGGAAACAAAGTCTGTAAATACGGAGGGATGGAGGTGTTGAAGGGAGGGCAGGGAAGGGGGAAAAAATAAGAACCAAGAGAGATTATGTAAAGGTGCAAATTTCCAATGATGAATGTCATTATATTGTATGCCTAAAATGTACCAATAATATATGAAAATGTGAAAAAGAAAGTGATATAGACAAGCCACAACAAGGTCACTGTGAGCATTAAAGCTGTGACTGCCAGTGCATACAGGGAAGGAGTGGTCAGGTCCTTAGCATCACTTATTGGGACAAACAGAGGGTGAATAGGCAGCCCTGGGGGGCCCTGGAGCCTGGGAGACCAAGTGTGCTGGGTGTTTATGCTGTGTGTTCAAGGGATTTTGTCTAGCAGGTGGGCCCTGGCAGGTGACCCAGTGACAGGAACATGTGGAGACCTGAAGTACATGGCATAAAACTGAGAAAAAGAGGCTTTGGACCAGGAGTCACTATCACAACTGGATGGCACAGATCCTCAAGATGATGGATGAGCTTATACTCAGGGGAGACAGTGGATAATGTTAAATTGAAATCATCATCATAAATAAGCAGAGTCTATGAAGATATGATAAATATTCTTTTTCTTTATTCTAGACAACAATCTTTTGGCAACCTTTTTTTTAAGTTGCCTATTTTATTTTACACTTGATGGTGATAGTGAGGGATCTGGATTTCTTCCCCCAGGAGATCTGAACTGTGAACTTGAATTCTCAAACTGAGCCTCCTGATACATATGAATCCGATCCAGAGAGCACACCACCCTTCTGACAATTATTCTGTCTTATTTCTGAATACGATGTTAATGTAATCAGAATCAATTTCTTCTAATTAAGTCTTTAAAAACGACTGTGAACAGGATACCCAGGAGCCATGTTAGTTTTCAAAATTAACCAACAAATAAAGAATAGAACCCATAGTATTAATCAAAAACTAATACGATCTTCAGCATGCACAGTCCCCTTTCTCACAGGGCTGGTATATACACACCCTGGTCCAGCTTAGCCAGCCCATCTCTGGAGTCACCTGTGGCTTGCTGGGAGAAGGAAACAGACCTCAGGGGCCATCAGCCCAGCAGACCTGGGGTTATGGGGGAAGCTATCTGGGACTCACTTCAGGGAAGGCTATAGTCATGCTCTAGCCCAGAAAGACCCATTGACTGCTACTACCAAGGAAAGGGGAGGAATCACCACATGCCTTTGTTAAAAACTGACATTTGGACAACTCTAAAGAGCTTAAAAATTCACTGGGACATTACAGTTCTTCTCAGTAAAATCTATAATGTATGCACTCCCATAGTTGTATAACTTCCTAAAATCATTCCTGTGAATTTTAAGCACCTTGGAAGTGATTTCTACTGATACTACTCTCTGGTTATACATTTTTAAAAAAACAAAAACAAAAACAAGAAAGGTCTTGAGTCCTTGCTTCTATAAAAATTCTGTCTATAAACAGTAAATGTGCCCAGGCTCCTAGGGCAGTGAAGCTCAGCTGGTCCCAGCACCCGGGAGGAAGCTCCCCCGCTGCCATCCCAAGCTCCTAGGGCAGAGAAGGTGAGCC